TTTCTCTTCAGGCACGATCGTGTCTGACTTTGAGGGCACGATCGTGCCTACTTAACTTCCGAATTTGACAAAACTTCCTTCATGAAAGTTGTAGATAATGAAGTCCTCTATCCACCCCAATTTGCCGAATGTGATTTGAATCATCCAATCAAGAGATATGATCAAAACGGTGGAAGGTGTCTTTCTGAAATCGCAGCAGAGATCATCTGACTTCATCGTCTGTTTTCACCTTCTTCCTCTCCGATTCTCGCAAAGGTGTCTTCATATGATTTGTAGCCCTTGAAGTTGGCTTTCCTATGGAGCTTGAATCGTGTACAGTGGATGTTTCTACAGAGAGATATGCTTGAACGATTGACAGAAGGTCATTCTGATCGTCGTTTTCAAGCTTCATTCATCTTCTTTTGTCCCGAAGCCAATCCTAGAGCTCTTTTTTCCTTCAAATCTTCATCGTGAATCTTCCGGTGACCTCCAAAGCTATCAAATCATTCTCAAATGCTTCTCAAATCATCCCGATTGTTCCTCAAGTGTCGGTGGCGGGCTCAAATTCCCTGATTTTGACTACAAACAACACAAAACTCGAACCAACGCCCGGTAAACATAACTTGAGCTAAAATTGAGACTTGTAACACCTTAAAACTAGGAAAATCATCAAAAGCCGATCTCAACACGCATCAAATACGTGTCAAAATACGGACTTATCAAATTCCCCCACACTTAAGCCCTTGCTTGTCCTCAAGCAAACTGAACAACGGGACTTACGATAATCACCACACGGAATCAAAACAATTAGCATGCACACGTAGTTAAAGGGATATTCACAGAACAAGCAGACCAAACCACGAAAATTCTTCCCTAAACTACATCTTTGTACTCTAGCTAAAATATTTGACAAAATTATTCACAACATCCTCAAAGTAGTGACAGCACACACAAATAAACTAGTTATTGATCAGAAGGACTTGTGATGGTGGTGGTGAATGGATCATGGATAAAAATAATAGTCCCTTTCTTTTGAGAGATTTGAATATTCTAACGAAGACTCAATGTATTCAGGAACTTCAGGGCTATTCTTAGGAACAAGGAATTCAGTAGGCCACAATTTAGGAATAATCATTTAAACCTATGCAAAGAGTAGACATGGTGTACAACTAAGCTAAACCGTCTCAGCACATTTGTGCTTTGACGTATACTTGAAGTACGCGGAGGACTAAAGCTAATTTTTCAATAGCCTCCAAGTTCATTAATTATGTTTAGTTTTCCTTGTCATGTTGGCACGAGAACGCCGTTTCTTTCGAAAGATACCCAAGTCTCATCTTACGCTTTTTGACCGGGGCTCCCATTCTCTTTTTCGTAAGGCAAGAGGTCTAGCTATATTAATTTTTCACCTTTCGGATTCTCACTAGACATTACCCCATTCTAATTTCGGCCTCACCAAGGAAAAATAGCAATTAAAGTTCATTAATTTAAAGTGAGTCCATGCCTACAATGCAATCCTCGAAAGTATCAAATTCCTAAAAAGTGTCTGCTCTTACCACATTTGGAGCATAGGAACAGTGCCAAAAATGGCTCCTACACAAAATTCCCTAAACCTAGCAAATTAATCCCTTAGTTCCCTAAACATCAAGACTAAGTCAGAAATATTCACGGGTAAGGAAACACAGGCCATTTGGCTATGGAGCTCAATTAATTGGATAAACAATAAACGGTCAGGCTCAAAATGGCTTCTCCTAAAGGATTTTTTTCAGGTGGGGGGATGATTAATGGAAAATTCAATGGGTGACTAATGCCTTCATCCTTTCAACAACTATATTACCATGCAAGCAATTTAAGCCTAAACACTTCAAGAATGTCATAAAAGCATAGTCAAAATGCTAGCAAGCTCACAAAGACACAGTTTAAAGAAAAATTTTCAAAATTTTGCATGAATTTCCTATGAATATACAACTAACACCGGCGCATGCTAACTCTAATAAATCTCATGTAACAACCACTGCCCGAATGCCCAATTCACTCCCCCACACTTAAACTTTGGCATCGTCCTCGATGACCAAATATGCATTATGTACTAGGGGGTAAGAGGATAGGGTCACACATGCTCAACTTAACTCAAGTCAATATTTCAACAAGCGAGTAAAAGAGTCAAAGAGACTTCCCTAAGGCGTTGGTCGGTGCAGAACTAAATTGAGTCAATGATCCTCGGCGCATCATCCCCAAAGCAAGACCCTGAGCTGCAAAAACAAAACACACAAGCACAAAAACAAACCCAAAAAACACCCCGGTTTTTTTTTTGTTCTTTTTTTTTGGGTGTTTTCTGAAAGCAAACAAACAAACAAAAAAAATGCAGAAATAAGCTTGGGTTGCCTCCCAAGAAGCGCTATTTTTAACGTCGTTTGCCCGACGCAACTTCCTCATAGGCTCTCAAATAGCACAGACATCAGTGGTGCACTAATAGTCAACATCTCCAGCTTCCTCTCAACAAATGCCATTAGATGGCGCAAATTCTTAAATTCTTCAGTCCACGAAGGTAGCATATGGTCTTCATAACCCTCATCAGCACAGAAGTGAAGTATGAAACTCTCATCCTCTTCAGGTGGATAGGGAACATGAGTGAAAACTTTGATTACTCTAGGCATCACCGGAAGCTCAAAACATGTCTCCAAGCAAGGAGTAGGAGCAACACCGTAATTAAACTGCAACATAGAAAAGTCTTCTTCTTCCTCACAAATATCATCTACATTCACAACCTCTCCTCCGGACTCTGTATCACTCCCCATGAAGGCATCCCAACTCTCGTTAACATCGTTCTCATCAGGGTCTTCTTGGATGATGTTGTCACTCTTCGTACAAAAAGGAATATCATCAAGTAGTGAATCAAAGAAATCCAAATCTGAAACCACGTAAGAGTGGATCGGTACAGGTGTACAAGAAGGGTAATCTTGCTTGTGGAGCGGGACTTCTTCATTACGGACATTATCTACCTCGCCCCCACTCTCTTGGAGCATGTAATCATCTTTTCCCAACTCATCTTCAATACCCAAACCTACCTCAGTAGCTCCATCATCATGACTGATCTGCTCCTTTCCCTCATCAGGTGTTGAGACTAATGGTAAATCAAACGGCTGGGGAGTTTCTGTATGAAAATCACAATGATTTGTGACTTCATCAGTTACAGCTTGTACCGTTTCGAACTTTTTCCTGTATTCTCGGAAAAACAACTTGACACTATTATCTTCTTCTTCATCTTCAAACATAGGAGGGTCTTCAAAAGCATCAGGAAGTGTATCATCCATCATATTCCCACCTTCGCAGTCCGACTCACTCATATGATCATCCCTATTGGTCTCCTCAGGTTGAGCGTCTGTATCGCTAGGATAAGATCTCTCGGACTCCTCAGATAAAGCCTTTATAATCTGCCCCAATTGATTCTCCATGTTCTGCCTCCTTGTGTTTGCTTGCTGTTGAATTGCCATGCTCGCCTCAATTTCTTGCATGAATTGCTTGAGTGTTTCTTCCAGGTGAGACAGCTTCTCTGAAATTATCTCTTCTACTTCATCCTGTGGTTCATAGCTCGGCAAAGATGTAGGAGTGACTGAAACATTTGTGTTCGTAAATTGTGGGGAGGAAGAAGTGGGGTATGCAGTTTCCCGGAAAGGATGGTCATATAGAGGTTTGATGGGGCAAAGACATAAATGGTGATCTCCTCCACAGAAAGAACAAATGCTATCCTTAAAACATTCAGATATTTCCTCAGGCGTTTTATTTAGAAGCATAAATTCAAGAATGGAGCCTCGTCTTACGCTTACCCAATGGTAATGTGATGAAGGATAGTAAAAATCAGAATGAAAGGGTTGTGTGGTTGGAGTGTACGGATAAGAAGGCTGAATATTTTGTGGCGTAGGAGAGTAATTTTGATGAGGTGTGTAATATTGAGGAGGAGGAGGAGGAGGAGGAGTGTAAGGAGGGTATGGCGTATATGGTGAAAATTCCATGGAGGTTTGGGGAAAAGGACTTCCTCCAGGAATTTGGTTGAATGAGTTCATCTCATGCCTCTTAGAAATTACCTGAAAGGTTAGCACAGAAAAAATCCTACGAAAAAACTAAAAGAAAACTAACTAAAAAAAAATTCTCGCTGAAATTAATTAACCCTTAAAACCGACACCGTCCCCGGCAACGGCGCCAAAAACTGATGTGTGTTTTCTCGCACTTAAAATAGATCGTAATATAGTGGTGTAAGTACGAGTATCGTCTCCACAGGGACGGACAAAAGGGAATCAAGAATTAATTAAATTCAGCGATTAAAAAGAAAATAAAATAAAAGCGTCATGCGAGATTGGTTGGTTTGGAAAATAAAACTAATGCAAACAATTAAATTAGGGGGTTCTTTCTAATTAATGACGAAGGGAATAGAGATCGATTCCGGGGTAACCAGATTTCTGGCAGATCAGGCCTAATTACATGAAATTAATTTAATTGAGCCTAGCTAATCATTACTAAGTTCTTACCGCTCTCGCGGCGTAGAGTACAATAATTTAGGGGACCAGGCTGATCTCTCATGCGACAGGATCCTAAATTATTGCCAAGACGAGCGAGCTTACGGCCCCTTAATCGCTACTAATCTCTTAGCGAACGATTAAGTGTGTGTGAATGTGTCCTAGAACAAATTAGATCTCTCTTAATTTATTCTACATGCAATTGTAATTCTAGTCGCGATTCTAGGTTACAAAAGATATCAATTAAATTATTCAAACACAAATTAAACGGCATTCATGCAATTAAACTGAAAAGAATCTAGCCATACATCATGATTAACCCCTTCATCAATCCCAAATCCCTAATTAAAACTACTCACAATTCATAATTGAAGAATCAATAGAATTGGGAAGAATAGAATTAATTGTCATTAATTAAAAAGGTGGAACTTACAAAGAATCCCAAAAGATTGATGAACAAGGCTGAAAAGCCCTCTAAAATTCGTGCTAGGCACTCTCTCTAAGCTCCCCCTTGAAAACGGGGGTTTACAGGCTGTTTAAATAGAAAAATCGGGTGAAATTTGAGCTGAATTAGGATTTTCGGAACCAGACACGATGTCAGGCACGATCGTGCCTTCGATCGTGCCTCCGGAGCAAAAACGCGCAATTTGGGCAGGCACGATCGTGCCTCCCTCCAGGCACGATCGTGCCTGGCTGGCAGTAGCTCCGCGGTGCTTTTCTCTTCAGGCACGATCGTGTCTGACTTTGAGGGCACGATCGTGCCTACTTAACTTCCGAATTTGACAAAACTTCCTTCATGAAAGTTGTAGATAATGAAGTCCTCTATCCACCCCAATTTGCCGAATGTGATTTGAATCATCCAATCAAGAGATATGATCAAAACGGTGGAAGGTGTCTTTCTGAAATCGCAGCAGAGATCATCTGACTTCATCGTCTGTTTTCACCTTCTTCCTCTCCGATTCTCGCAAAGGTGTCTTCATATGATTTGTAGCCCTTGAAGTTGGCTTTCCTATGGAGCTTGAATCGTGTACAGTGGATGTTTCTACAGAGAGATATGCTTGAACGATTGACAGAAGGTCATTCTGATCGTCGTTTTCAAGCTTCATTCATCTTCTTTTGTCCCGAAGCCAATCCTAGAGCTCTTTTTTCCTTCAAATCTTCATCGTGAATCTTCCGGTGACCTCCAAAGCTATCAAATCATTCTCAAATGCTTCTCAAATCATCCCGATTGTTCCTCAAGTGTCGGTGGCGGGCTCAAATTCCCTGATTTTGACTACAAACAACACAAAACTCGAACCAACGCCCGGTAAACATAACTTGAGCTAAAATTGAGACTTGTAACACCTTAAAACTAGGAAAATCATCAAAAGCCGATCTCAACACGCATCAAATACGTGTCAAAATACGGACTTATCAAGTACACTGCATGGGAATATCTCACACAAGTAGGTGCTGAGAGATGGAGTAGAGCACATTTTCAAAACCATGTTAAGTGTCATGTGTTCTCAAGTAGCATTGTTGAGTGTTTCAATGGAGTCATAAAGAAGTACGGAGACAATCATGTGGATATCCTTATCGACAATATATGTATTTTGGCAATGAAATTAATGAGGAAAAAAAGGAAAAGATGAGGCTCACAGGAAGTTTAATATGCCCGGGGATACTAAAAAAATTGAATGCATGCATCATGGAATCTACTAAGTGGAGTTCCATATCATGTGGGGAAGTTATATTTGAGGTTACACTGTGGCCTAAGAGGTTTATTGTTCACCTTGGGAACAACACATGTACTTGTAGGCTATGGGACTTGACAGGTGTACCTTGTATACATGCTTGTGCTGCTATAATATCTATAAGGGCAGGCCAGAAAATTATATACAAGAATATTTTACAAGAGACTATTTCTTTAGGGCCTATGAGTATAAAATAAATCCAATGGGAGGCCCTGATTCTTGGCCTAAAACTAATAATGAGCTCATACAACCACCTTTGCTAAAGAGGCCACCAGGGAGGCCAAAAAAGCAAAGGCACAAATCATCTTTGAAAGGGAAGGATCCTCACAAAGCTAAGAGAAAGTACGGTATGATTAAGTGTGGTAAATGTAGACAATTTGGCCATAACAAAAGGTCTTGTAAAGAGAATGAGCAGGTATGACTTTTCAACGTACGCTCCAACTATACTTTACATTTTTTATATGTCATACTGTTATTCTTTTCAGAAGTTGACATGAGGATGTTCCATGTTCACCAGAGAAATATTTGACATGCTACACAAGAAGAAGATAGTCTTATGGGATGAACTTTTCATTTTGATCTTTGCTTTGAATTTTGATTAGTAGAGTATAAACAATGAATATTAATTTTAAATTGCATTTCAATTTAATCTCCTTTAAGTCCTTTTTAATAAGATTGATGTGAATTACTTGTGGATTGTCACACTATGTTGTAATCATGCTTGTTTGAAAACTAACTCTTTTACTATTTCATTTACTCACGTTCAGTCCATCTATAATTTTTGTATTCACACAATTCTTATGTGTATCAGTTAAGCATAAAGTTATTCATATATTAGCTGGACTAGTAGTGAGATTAAAAGGGTTATAATTGCCCTTCAAAATCTACAGATTTAAACATTACTTACTTGATTATTTCTCATAAACCGTTATCATTGTATTTGATGTTCCACTTAGAGATCTGAAAGCAGATTACAAAGCAGAGAAGTGTTTCACCTTAAATCCTCCTGTTTCAGGTCTTTGAGATGGTGGTGGAACTAAAGCTTCTACAGCTTACGTTTGTTAGTTATTATCCCATAGAAGTATCACACATTGCCAAGCCACATAATGAAATCAATAATGATTTCAATTTCAAAATATTTTCATTTAGACAAGTCGGTGAAACCAAGAGAACAAAAGCTTTAGCTGCATAAAGGAATTCAAGATTAAGAGATATTGTTTTGATTAAACTTAAACCTGATGTAGTTAATCTTCCTGAGAATGTATTTAGCTTGAACTGAAAAAGAGGTCTTCTATTTCACCTCCAAAGGTGAATTGTCAAAGCTCCATGTGTGTGAGATGAATTAGGCCCAAGTGCACTGAGAGAAAATTTTAAATATAATCTAGAGTGAAATATTATTATTAAATTCATGTAAATGAGACCACAATCATAAATGGAGAATCATTTCCTGGTTCAAAATTATCACAAATCAAAATTACATACATGGTCACATGGGCATGATGAATACACAAATGAGATATGACTTCAATGCTCATTTTATTCAAGCTACAGAGCCTTCCCCATACATACATAGAACTATATATTAACAAAAGCAATTAAGTATACTTACACAGCCAAGTTAACAAAAACAATTAAGTATACTTATACATATGTGGCAATTTCTAATCGTGATTGGGATGTACATGTGGCAATTATTAATGTAGGTGGGCGGTTTATCAAATTTCGGTTACAGACAAGTTAACGGTGTGAAAATTTTAAGCCTTGTATTGATAGATTGTAATCTTATAGGTCCCTAATTGATAGAATTATTCTTTCGGGTCCAGAATTGATAATGAACCCAACTTTCAGGTCCTGAACCGATAAAATTCCTTAGAAAAAGTGCTTTAAAGCTAAAAGATGTAAGCTGGGGTTACGGTGCTTTTATTTGCTTCTTGGCTTTTTTGTAATTAATTCAAACTTTAAGGATAGTTTTATTAGGACATTTATTTAATCTGGACCAAAAGTACCCTGATCTCCATACTCCTTCGTCGGACTCCACACAGTAATGGCGCAGTCTGAGCTGAGGCCGTGGTGAATGACACCATCAACCGCCGTTACATGATAACTTCCGTTATATGAGTAATTTGCGAAGTTTGGAAAAAAATGCCATGTTTAAAGCCTATTAATTCCAAACTTGACAGAAATTTACTCCTATTTAGGAAATAAAAAACATGATAGTACTATTTTGGAATTTTAAAACGTTTTTACTCCTATTGAGGGAATTCTCTCAATATTCTACTCTGTATAAAAATCACTTTTAACAAAACACTACAACTTTAGCCTTTTCATTTTAATCACTTCTATTTTAAAGCATTCCCAACTTTTGCTTTTAAACACTTTCTCCAAAATCACTCTGCTTTCTCCTACAGGGCACAGTGCAGTAACCAAAATATGCATTTATGTATATATATGAACAATGTATGTATACAGTAATTAAATATTAATAACACAGCTAATAAAATTTCTACCAGAAGACCTCCCGCCCCTGGTGGCATGGAATTAGCTTGGCAAATTAATTACCCAGGAAAATTTCACAGAGAGGCTTAACAAATGAAGAAATGCAGACGGGATCACGGGAACGATGACGGTTCAAGAACAGTGACGGTCATGGAGCGCCCAGGCGGCGGGAGGCGGGAGTCGGGAGGCCGAGGCGGTTCACAGAATTATTGCAAGACGGATCATATCATACTTCACTGACCTCACCATCCCTACACGCCCCCACATTGACCACCATACTTTTCTTACCTGAGTGTAACACCCTGCAACAGTTCCTCCTCGGAGACTGCCCAAAAGCAATATAGACATGTTAGTTATGACTTTATTGTACACTACAAAATGTGACGTACTCATTCATTAAACATGAAATAAATCTCAAAGTTTAATTTCTTACACATGACAGTTCTTTAATGAGGTATTAATTGAGTAGCTGTCTAAATGTTTTTCTCGTTGAAGTATGGGCAGTAAGATGAATTAATACACTTTACCCAGCAGATATCCCATACCCTTTAAAGCTATAGTTTTGTTTATAACGTTACTTCTGCAGCTAGGATAGAACAAACTTCCTTCTCCCAAAGAGCAATAGAAATTGTGACCAATCTTTTCTTGCGTGGAACTATTTTTCGCTTTTAGGCACCACAATTGAGTTTCGTGACGCAAAATGAAGAACTTTGAGGTTTAAATAATATCTACTATAGCTAATAAAATGCTATGTAATTCTTGCAAAAAAAATGCTATGTAATAGAATTAATTCCACTTTAGGTCTTATGAATTTTATGTCAATTTCATAATTGGTCCACATTTTTAAGTTTGTTGACTTCCGCTGCTTGACTAATGTTTCTTGATCATGTGTGGCCCTTTTTTGGCGATTTTAACCATATGAAACATTGTCGAAAGCACTATATATGGGTTAAAAACAATAGCCATTTATCAAAAGTAATCAAAATTGAAACATGCTAGATCATACTAGTATTTGATAGTTGTAAAATAAACATAAAACAAACATTTACTAAAATTTTGATCCAATTGAAAACATTCTTATTTAAAATTATGCTCCCAATTTAAATTAATTGTGTTTAGTTATTAAAAAACAAAGTGCAACTTACAAAACAGGAAAAATAAAGTATTATTCTTATTATTATTCATTATTATTACTACGACACTATTACCATTGTTATTATTGCTCGTTTTGAAATGTAGGCCAATGTTATTATTACTGTATTTATTGTTCTTAGTCTTTTTTGTTATAGAAAAATAAACAACTCATTATTTCACGTAGGCCAATTAGTTCTGATGTTTGTTATATGGTCAAGTCCAATCCATTACAGCGTACAATATATGGCCCAATATGAATAGATTTGATTTGGTCCAAAATGACCTAATACGTTGACGATTTGACGTTCAGTTTTTAAATGGACTGAAATTTAATGGTTTGTCTGGTTTAATAAATGAGTGGTTATGTGTATTTAACAACTACTCCGTATCAAATTCTGGTTTGGCTTGATTTATTTAAGACTGGTCTTGACTGTTCAGGTATGAGATTAAAACTAGTCCAAGTAAAACATGCTTAGTCTAATGCGATTTGATCTTGTTTGATCTAATCTAATATGGATATTATGTGAGTTTTTATTAATATATTGTTATTAGAACATATTCATAAAATAATCATCCCATGTATTACTTATTATAATTTTGAAGTACAAAATATATCTCTGTAACATTAGTTTTAATGGGATCATTTTAACTTTGGTGGTCTTTCTCTTGATAAAAAATCATAAGATTATGAAACTATTTTATTATGTTCTATAATGACCTGAACACAACATTCTAAAATGTGTGATGTGTGGTAATACTTGAAGATAAGAGTATTTCCAATGCTACAATGTGCATGGTGCACATGTGACATGAGAGAGATACACACAAAAGATTGATTTTACGACATTTCTCTCTCCATCTTTCCACGGTCTTATATGTTTTTGGTAAGTTTTTCTCTGCAATGTCAGCCACAATGTCTACATCTAGACATTGTGCTTGACATTGTGAAGAAAAACTTACCAAAATGATATAAGACCCTTCAAATAAGGAGAGAGATATTTTATTTATTGATTTTTGATTGGCTATTTCTGATGCCACGCATGCACCGTTAACGTATTACCATTGAAGATGCTCTAAGCCTCGAAGCCTTTGACGCATATTAAAATCCGGTGGCTATCCGGATCCCGAACCAAGAAAGATAATGAAACACTCACAAAAATCCCTGACCCAAACCAGTAAAATTCGAGAGACCGGAACAACCCGGTTTCAGATGTTTTTTAAAATAATTTATTATATTTGTTTTAAATAAAAACTAAGAAAATAACAAAAACAAAGTACGTAATATATTGTTTCTTTTTTGTATTAGATTACATAGTAAAGTATTTACATAAATGAGGTTTTTTATAATTTAATCTTTTTTTAACAAAAATATGTTTTTATAGACTATTTTTCAAATAAAATATGTAGAAAAGTCCATCTGTTAGGCCTAGATTTTGCATTTTGCAACTAGGTTTACAATTTTTAACGCGTTTGATAGTCAACTGACTGCCTTCTACCCTTAACATTAAGATAAAAAAAAGTGAAGGAGCAAGGAAATAAGAAGCAAGATTTACCCTGTCCCATAAATGTGGATCAGGCTTCATATAAACCTCAACCCTCTGAATTTCTTCAGGATTTGCCATTTTCCATCGGCAAGGAGGACGGGGGAGAGGATGGTGAATATACTTGCTCACTGTTTCATTGGCAAAAGAGTCCATTTCTGCACTTGAGAAATAGAAAACAAAAGACTTCTGGCAATGGTTCCTCATGACTGGCCTTGTATTGAAAGAATAGGCTGTGTAATCTGCTCTTCTGTACCAATTCAAGAATGTTCTCGACGGCATTTCAACCTCGCGTGGTGACATCACTCCACGAAAGATTTGGACCGCAAAGCCCCAGGACACTGAAACTGTCCAGCTCTTACTCTTGTCATAGCAAATGGACTGCTGAACCAAACTGGCTGAATCAAGCCTCATTGGAACCATTAACCGTCGAAGGGCTTCGAGTCGAGTCACATTGGGAAATATTGGTTCAACCACATCAAGATGGTGTAAAGAAACCAATGGTGACACAGGGTGTGCAGATAGCAGCCCGAACAAGTCCCCGTATACATCAAACTGAGTTTTCAACCCCCAAGAAACAACTTGTTAGTTCATTACAATCAAAACAATCACATTAGTCATGCACAAATGCACCTTTCATTGACAAAAACCAAGATCATATTGCAGTCACTCAACGGGCTCGTAAGACACTTATTCAAACCCGAAGTTGAGCTAGTTCTACCGAACGCCTTATGAATTCATCATTTCTATTTCCTTGTCTCATGTGTGACTATAAAGTCTATAACATTATTACCAATTTTCATACATATCAATGTAGAATTAAGGATTCAGTTGAGCTCACTCAATTAGGTTATAAAGAACTAGAGCTAAATCACAATAGAAGGGCAAAGGGCAGCCCAGTGCACTACGGTGTAGGCGCACCGAGCACTCGCAGGGCAATGGTCCGGGAAGGGCCTCATACTCCCACTACAGAATGTAACTGGGGCAGAGGCCGCTTCCCAGACTTCAATCCAATACCTTTCGAATTTCGGATACGCAGCAACAACTGGTGAGCCAATGATGCCTTTACCTAAATAGGCTAAATCACTATAGATTATGTTAAATTCAATCTGTTAGCCAATTCAACCGAAGTTCTCGTTTTCCAACAGGAGCATTATATATGACTCGATTTAAACAAATTTCCAGTGTTTGCAAGCATAATTGGCAAGAATATAAATCATGAAACTCACCTGGTGGAAACCGACTTCTTTGGTTAGGGGAACTCCGAGTTCGGCCATACAAGCCTGCATTCTATCATCAGAGCCATAAAGCCAAGGGTATCTCTGAATGCACCTATCTTGCATTTTCTCAAGAGCCTGAGCTAAAGGGTAGCTAATAGCAAAACCACCACCGCCAAAAGCCATACTGTAAGAGAAGTAGATGTTCTGCAAATGGCTCTCACTCAAACTCCCAATGTAATAGAAGTGGTTGTGATCATATTTGTTGAGAACCCTCAACAAATTATCCGTTATGAAAACGGTGTCGTCATCCCCCATCACGAACCACCGGACGTCACCCATTCCCAGCCGGAGCGTCTCCGACACGATTCTTGAAATTCTGATGGCCGACCGGTGGCCCTGCTGGTTGTTGTAGGCGAAATGGGAGGTGTTCCCGGAGATTCTCAACTCCGGGAGGGACGCATTCTCCCTTTCCGACATATTCACCGGCTTATCCAGCCAGACCACCCCCCTCATTTTCTTCCCCGGCTTCCACCACAGCTTTATGTAATTCTTCCTCGAATCCCACAGCTTCGCCGACGCCGCAATGCCGAAAACCACATGCTCCAGGCCCGTTTTCTCTGGAACCGGTCGGGCCGGTTCGTCCAATGCGGACCCTGCCGCGGATGAGTTGATTTCAGGCTGGGCAGGGAGGAGCCCGTCGCGCCGGATGACGAAAACGTCGTCGTTGCAGGCCCCGGAGGCGGAGGAGGAAAGAAGCTTTAAGGTGTAGATTACGTAGGTGACGGAGACTAAGAGGACGAGCCAGACCATAAATTTGGGCAAGACCCGACTTTGGGAAGTGGAAACTGTGACAGACGCGCCTGAAGCGCTTCTCATCTGTTCCCACAATGATTTCTCTGAATCTTTATCTTTCTGGGTCACTTTCATGGTCATTTGCTCTTCAGCTATAAGCAGTGGGGCTGTACTGAAAATAGCTAAAAACAATTTCTTTCCTTTTTTCTTAAAGAAAAGAAAAGAAACAGAGATAGAACAGTGGTATGCTAGGATTTTAATGGTAATAATCTAATCTTTTTCTACTTTTTTAGGTGTGGCATGATTGGGTAATTCTTCCAGATAAGATGCTAGATCTGGGGGAAGTGTTTCTGGGTGTCTGAAATTCTTACAAGAACCAGAGGGGATTGAAAAAGAAAACTTAAGCATTCTAACCACCAAAAAGGGGGAGAGAAAATGGTAGGAGCAGCATGCATTGTGCATTTGGTTTAGCTTCAATCATCTGGATCAAAAAGCAATGAAGCATTCACGCTTTCCTCAGTTTCCTGATACAGACTGGAGCTCACACACACAGAGAGAGCAGGGTGGGGGAGGGGGCGCCTGGACCAAAAGAAACCTTTATACACGTATACACAATCTAACATTTTTAGTGATTTTTTAAATATATAATCACCTATTTCTAGAATGGTAGACTAGTTATTTCATTTGTCCCTAAATTATTTGAAATACTAGTATTTGTGATGGAAAATTTATACTCCCTTTGGTTGTATTTAATATTCACACTTTGACTTCACACAAAATAAGGAAAGAAATTTGACTTTACTGTAGAGTACACTGTTGAGGCATTGTTTCACACTGTTTGACACTGTTGAGACACTGTTTGGCACTGTTGATACACTGTTTGGCACTGTTTGGCACTGTTTTGATATAGATTTCTTTGCCAAAAAAGAAATAAGGAAGTGTGAAGTTTATTTTAGACCGTCCCAAAAAAAAGTGTGAAGTTTATTAAATATATTCCCGGAGTATTTGATAACAGGAGTAAGACGTTTTGAAATTTCAAAATAGGATTATCATTTTATTTGTTCCTTGAATAGAAGTAACCTGTCAAGTTTGGGAAAAAATGTCATATTTAAAGCCTTGTAATGTCAAACTTGGCAGAAATTTAATTGCTCCTATTCAGGGAATAAAAAACATGATAGTCCTATTTTGGAATTTCAAAACGTTTTTAATCTTGTTTAGGGAATTCTCTCCATTTTTACCATGCACGTTTTTAATCTTTAAGGAAAAATGTTTGATATTTTTACAGGTACAACTTTAATAAATTAAATATTCTTTTGTCAAATTATCATAAAAATGTTGATCAATGTATCACGAAATATCTTCTCTAAAATAAAAAGAGTAATCATTTTAGCCCTCCAAAATTGTGTCTCCGGGTTTTTTTTAATTTTATATATGTAATATTCATTTCATATTAAAGATAATTTAAAAAAATTGTTAATTTTGGTGTGTTTTTTGTAGAAATTGGAGTACAAATAGAAAAGTTATATCACTTCTAGAAAAAATAAGTTTTTTAAACTGCTAAATTATAATTCAGTTTTATATATGCAATATTGATGTCATATGCAAGAAAATAAAAAGTTATGATTTTTGATATATTCTTTGTAATAATCGGAGAACAATTAAAATCTTATAGCACATTATTTAAAGATTATCGGTGATTTTTATTTCACTGGGACTCACAATCCTCTTCTCTTCTTATTAGAACATGTTTGGCAGACATAAGTCTCCGTCTTTCAGCTTTTGTACTGTTTAAAAAGTCTCTAAAAGCTTCTAGTTGTATGTATGACATGACAAATTTTAAGAGCTTTTCAAAAATTAAAAGATCTTTTTTGAGATGCTACAAGGAGTAGCATCTGAGAAAAAGTCGTGAATTTTAGTATTAATTGTCCTAAAAGCTTGTAAACCAAACAGAACTAAACCAAACAGAAAAAGTCGTGAATTTTCAGTCATTAAGAGATAACATTTACTAAAAAGTTCACAAAAGTATATTTTCAGCTAGTTGTGTCAAACATACTCATGATCATTTTAAGTGGGGCTTCTGTTAAGTGGAGTTCGAGAAGGGAATAAGGGAAATGGTTTTAACTCGACTCCAATATCATAAATTTTTTTTATTTGACATTAATTTAGGAAAAAACTCGATTTTCTCCAAATAATCTAAAGTTATAAAATTATCTTCATTTCGATTAATAATATATTGATGAAATTCCTCACCCTAGTATAAGAGCATCTCCAACAGTTAGCAAATTACCTTCGTAGCTTGATTAGCCACATAGGCATTTGTAGCAAAATTAAAATTTACACCAATGGTTAGCTATGTCATCTTCCTCTTCATTTATCATTAATAATGTTATATTTAGTAATTCATTTGTTCAAGCTAGTAGCTCATTTTGGCTAATTAGCTTTCTCAAGCAAAAGGTTAAGCAATGCTACAACGGTAAGCTATTAGCTTTAAAATTGCAAGCAAGTCCTCAAGAGGAACCATTGGAGATGCTCCGTCCCATAAAATTCTCCCCACTTACCATTTTGGGTCGTCCCAAAAAATTCTTCTCGTTTCGCTTATTGGAATGGTTTGTGTGGCCACCATTCATTTACATTTTTCTTACTCAACCACAACCATACATTTCCACTTTATTCCCACTTTCTTAAACTCCGATCCAAGTCAAACTGAGAAGAATTTTCTGGGACGGAGGGAGTACTACGTATGTTATACACCTTTGTTGTGTACATTCTTAACTAGATGATGTATAACCCCTTTCAAACTTACATTTACCCAATGAATCATATTCTCTCCGTCCCATTAGAAAGTTCTCACTTTCCTTTTTTGGGCGTCCCATATAAAGGTTCTCATTTCCATTTTAAGAAACAATTAATAATCTTAAATAACAAATTAATCTTTAAATATTAAAAATAACACATATATAACATTACAGTTATCAATACTAACTTAATTATAATATATACCTAAATAACCGTGGCGTTTTGCTATGAGAATCTTCTAATGGGACGTAGCCAAGTAGGTAGTATCAACTAAATCAAACGTACGTGTAGACTTGTTCTCAAAGACTGATCGAGAGATCTTGCATTGGAATGTTTCAAAGATCTCGAGATTCTCAACTTGTGAGACGGATTCGTCATTTGGTAAAATGTATTGATTCGATTTTCCATTGCTTATTCTTAATTTAAGAATCTAAAATAATTATTTATAAGTATTTATGATTAAAAAAATAAGTATTTATGTCACTATTTTTTATTGACACTTTTGTTTACCTCTCATAATTTTTTTCTACTATTAAATTAAATAATTAATACTCCGTATGAAGTATAAATTAAAATATACTTCGTATTACGTAGTACATTATTATACTCGTATCCTATTTCATGGACAGTTAAGCCAGATAAATGAGCTGAATGTATATTATGGTCTTACACCATAAGGTGCGTAGCTTATGACTTTGTGAAGTTTTAGTTGAATTAAAAGAAGGGAAAAGGTGCACATAGGCCCATGTACTAACCAAAAAAGGTCAAATAAGGCCTTATTTAGGAGGTTCTGTCCGGCCGTCGCCATTTGGGGTGGTTCCCGGTGGTTTTTTTTGATGAAATTTTTTGAGCATCTTATTCATTAAGTCTAGTTTACTCATACCAAATGTCAGCTAAAACTTCAACCGGTAAGGCATTCAAATGAATTCTTGAAGATAACTGCGCTTCTAACTGCGCAGTTATTTTCAAGAATTCATTTGAATGCCTTCCCGATTGAAGTTTTAGCTGAAATTTGGTATGAGTAAACTAGACTTGGTGAATAAGATGCTCAAAAAATTTTATCAAAAAATTCCACCGGGAACCACCCCAAATGACGACAGCCGGACAGAGCCTCCTAAATAAGGGCTTATTTGACCTTTTTTGGTTAGTACATGGGCCTATTTGCACCTTTTCCCTTAAAAGAATAAAATTATCAATATTAAGTTTTAGCTTATGACTATGTTTGGCAGACATAAGTCGTTGCTTTTTGCCACATGAATTAAAAGAATAAAATTATCAATATTAAATTTACTTATGGCAGAAGAGTTGCAAATTTTTCAATAGCTGCAAGAATACAATCAACAACGTAACACAATGTTTCATTTTCATAGCGATGGAGGAACTGAATACTACTATTTTTGGAGTACATTCTGACAAACCTGTTTAGATTCTTATGTCGAATCGAATTGAATTGGATGGCCGGATTGGGTAAAATTCAAGTTTAATTATACACTTCAATCCCAAAAATAACAAATTAGCATCTTATATCATCAACTAATTTACCAAACCTAGTGTCTCTATCGAGTTATATTCAAGTTAATTAGTTCACGTCCAAATATAACAAATTGTTACCCGATGTAAACAACCTAACTTACCAAACTAGGTGTGTCTATGAGATATCTGAATGTGAAATGAAATTCTGCTACGTTTAAAACTAACAATTAATGAGTAAGAATATTTATTAAAAGTTTAAAACACAAAACAATGTTTTGTTCACTAGTGCATTAAATACAGTTAAGACGTACGTGCTAGGTTTGTTCCAAAATAATAACCTGTACGTACGGTAGTTTTAATGTGAGATAATTGCATGCTTTTCTTAACATCAGATAGTAAGGTAGCCAGGTTTTTTTGAAAGAAGATAGTAAGGTAGCCAGGTTGAGTTTTTAAGTACAAAATGGATTTTTTTTGTTACTTATTACATAGAAATATATATATATATATATATATATATATATATATATATATATATATATATATATATATGGAGTGGTTCTAATGAGAACATCCCTTATTGTGAGAAATGAGAACACATCCTGACTTTTAATCTAGATAATCGAACGGTGAATTTAGTGGGAGGTGCATGATAAATATGTACACTGCATCACACATACACATCTTGCAAACTATTATCACCATACGTGGTTGACTAGTGGGTAAAAGTGTCAAAAGATGTGTAACGGTTGGAGGCTACATACTTTCCATAAAAATAGATCAAAATAAAGACTTAATTCATATAAAATGTTTTTAGTTTAAAATTGATTTAACTTTTCAAATTGCAATCCAATTTTATCTAAAATTATATCAAATTAAATAATTTTTTATTATCTTTCATATGACACCAATATAGCCTATATAATTTTTTATTTAAAAATTACTATATGTATATCATAAACCACAACAAACATCTCCTGCTACGGCGCTACCGTACACACAAGAACATGTATCTAACACACAATCATCAATATTTAATGCACACGAAAAATAGTATCTCACACATAGTTTGTGTATAAAGCACAATAACAAGTTTCTCAAACACAAAAAGCAGTATCTAATGCACAATAATAAAGAATTAATAGCTATCCCACAAGGAACTCATATAGTACACATAAACTAGTATCTAAAGCACAATATGTATATACTTCGTTAGTTAGAGAACTCCTATGTAGCACAAAGTATAGACATACAGGATCAAAACAAGTATGTCATGCACAAGAACCGACA